GAACGTTGGAGCTCTCCTGTTGAACTCTGTGACAGGACATATTACACAAGAAAACAACGGGATATATATAATGAAACTCTGAGCCAAGATATGAGTCTTTAAACAACAGAGACATAACATTAACTTGATTTTTAATTCTCACCTTCCATCAGCAGGACGTCCATCTTTAAAGTTAATAGGGCGATCTATAGACCGGTCACTCTTCATGGACACACAGCTGGGTCCATGAAGAGTCTGGTCTCTGTTCCTGCATCCTGATACAAAAAAACAACATTATTAGTTACTGTGAGCAGCAGATGAGACAGTGATGATGATGATGAAGATGATGATGATGATGATGATGATGATGATGATGATGCTGATGATGATGATGATGATGATGATGATGATGATGATGAAGGTGGAGTGATGTGAGTGCTGAGCTGTGACATGGAGAAGAGTCATGGACAGTTAGAGATCCTCACCTCAGAGCTTCATGTTCCTCACACAGAGAGGTTTTAGAGGGAGGGACTCCCTCCTCTGTGTCCTCACACTGATCCATAGCAGAGCGCCCCCTGCTGGGAGAGCTGCACTCTGTCACTACAACAACACTGATGGAGTTCAGCTGCTGAAGTCACATCCAGTCAAAGATCTTCAGCTGTGGAGAAAACAAAGAGATGAAGCTGCTGATTCACCTTCATCATCATCATCATCATCATCATCATCATCATCATCATCATCACCACACTGTCAGTCTACAAACATCACATCTACCTGGTTCACCTTCATCATCATCATCATCATCATCACCACACTGTCAGTCTACAAACATCACATCTACCTGGTTCACCTTCATCATCATCATCATCATCATCATCATCATCATCACCTCACTGTCAGTCTACAAACATCACATCTACCTGGTTCACCTTCATCATCATCATCATCATCACCTCACTGTCAGTCTACTAACATCACATCTACCTGGTTCACCTTCATCATCATCATCATCATCATCATCATCATCACCTCACTGTCAGTCTACAAACATCACATCTACCTGGTTCACTTCATCATCATCATCATCATCATCATCATCATCATCATCGTCACCTCACTGTCAGTCTACAAACATCACATCTACCTGGTTCACCTTCATCATCATCATCATCATCATCACCTCACTGTCAGTCTACTAACATCACATCTACCTGGTTCACCTTCATCATCATCATCATCATCATCATCATCATCATCATCATCATCACCTCACTGTCAGTCTACAAACATCACATCTACCTGGTTCACCTTCATCATCATCATCATCATCATCATCATCATCATCATCATCATCATCATCACTCACTGTCAGTCTACAAACATCACATCTACCTGGATCACCTTCATCATCATCATCATCATCACCTCACTGTCAGTCTACAAACATCACATCTACCTGGTTCACCTTCATCATCATCATCATCATCATCATCATCATCATCATCATCATCACCTCACTGTCAGTCTACAAACATCACATCTACCTGGTTCACCTTCATCATCATCATCATCATCATCATCATCACCTCACTGTCAGTCTACAAACATCACATCTACCTGGTTCACCTTCATCATCATCATCATCATCATCATCATCTCACCTCACTGTCAGTCTACAAACATCACATCTACCTGGTTCACCTTCATCATCATCATCATCATCATCACCTCACTGTCAGTCTACAAACATCACATCTACCTGGTTCACCTTCATCATCATCATCATCATCATCTCACTGTCAGTCTACAAACATCACATCTACCTGGTTCACCTTCATCATCATCATCATCATCATCACCTCACTGTCAGTCTACTAACATCACATCTACCTGGTTCACCTTCATCATCATCATCATCATCATCATCATCATCATCACCTCACTGTAGTCTACTAACATCACATCTACCTGGTTCACCTTCATCATCATCATCATCATCATCATCATCATCGTCACCTCACTGTCAGTCTACAAACATCACATCTACCTGGTTCACCTTCATCATCATCATCATCATCATCACCTCACTGTCAGTCTACTAACATCACATCTACCTGGTTCACCTTCATCATCATCATCATCATCATCATCATCATCATCATCATCATCATCACCTCACTGTCAGTCTACAAACATCACATCTACCTGGTTCACCTTCATCATCATCATCATCATCATCATCATCATCATCATCATCACCTCACTGTCAGTCTACAAACATCACATCTACCTGGTTCACCTTCATCATCATCATCATCATCATCTCATCACCTCACTGTCAGTCTACAAACATCACATCTACCTGGTTCACCTTCATCATCATCATCATCATCATCATCATCATCGTCACCTCACTGTCAGTCTACAAACATCACATCTACCTGGTTCACCTTCATCATCATCATCATCATCATCACCTCACTGTCAGTCTACAAACATCACATCTACCTGGTTCACCTTCATCATCATCATCATCATCACCTCACTGTCAGTCTACTAACATCACATCTACCTGGTTCACCTTCATCATCATCATCATCATCATCATCATCATCATCACCTCACTGTCAGTCTACTAACATCACATCTACCTGGTTCACCTTCATCATCATCATCATCATCATCATCATCATCATCATCGTCACCTCACTGTCAGTCTACAAACATCACATCTACCTGGTTCACCTTCATCATCATCATCAACATCATCACCTCACTGTCAGTCTACTAACATCACATCTACCTGGTTCACCTTCATCATCATCATCATCATCATCATCATCATCATCATCACCTCACTGTCAGTCTACAAACATCACATCTACCTGGTTCACCTTCATCATCATCATCATCATCATCATCATCATCATCACCTCACTGTCAGTCTACAAACATCACATCTACCTGGATTCACCTTCATCATCATCATCATCATCACCTCACTGTCAGTCTACTAACATCACATCTACCTGGTTCACCTTCATCATCATCATCATCATCATCATCATCATCATCTCACTGTCAGTCTACAAACATCACATCTACCTGGTTCACCTTCATCATCATCATCATCATCATCATCATCATCATCATCATCACCTCACTGTCAGTCTACAAACATCACATCTACCTGGTTCACCTTCATCATCATCATCATCATCATCATCATCATCATCACCTCACTGTCAGTCTACTAACATCACATCTACCTGGTTCACCTTCATCATCATCATCATCATCATCATCATCACCTCACTGTCAGTCTACAAACATCACATCTACCTGGTTCACCTTCATCATCATCATCATCACCTCACTGTCAGTCTACAAACATCACATCTACCTGATTCACCTTCATCATCATCATCATCATCATCATCATCATCACCTCACTGTCAGTCTACTAACATCACATCTACCTGGTTCACCTTCATCATCATCATCATCATCATCATCACCTCACTGTCAGTCTACAAACATCACATCTACCTGGTTCACCTTCATCATCATCATCATCATCACCTCACTGTCAGTCTACTAACATCACATCTACCTGGTTCATCCTTCATCATCATCATCATCATCATCATCACCTCACTGTCAGTCTACTAACATCACATCTACCTGGTTCACCTTCATCATCATCATCATCATCATCATCATCATCTCACTGTCAGTCTACTAACATCACATCTACCTGGTTCACCTTCATCATCATCATCATCATCACCTCACTGTCAGTCTACAAACATCACATCTACCTGGTTCACCTTCATCATCATCATCATCATCATCATCATCATCATCATCACCTCACTGTCAGTCTACTAACATCACATCTACCTGGTTCACCTTCATCATCATCATCATCATCATCATCTCACTGTCAGTCTACAAACATCACATCTACCTGGTTCACCTTCATCATCATCATCATCATCACCTCACTGTCAGTCTACAAACATCACATCTACCTGGTTCACCTTCATCATCATCATCATCATCATCATCATCATCATCACCTCACTGTCAGTCTACTAACATCACATCTACCTGGTTCACCTTCATCATCATCATCATCATCATCATCATCACCTCACTGTCAGTCTACTAACATCACATCTACCTGGTTCACCTTCATCATCATCATCATCATCATCATCATCATCATCATCATCACCTCACTGTCAGTCTACAAACATCACATCTACCTGGTTCACCTTCATCATCATCATCATCATCACCTCACTGTCAGTCTACTAACATCACATCTACCTGGTTCACCTTCATCATCATCATCATCATCATCATCACCTCACTGTCAGTCTACTAACATCACATCTACCTGGTTCACCTTCATCATCATCATCATCATCATCATCATCACCTCACTGTCAGTCTACTAACATCACATCTACCTGGTTCACCTTCATCATCATCATCATCATCATCATCATCATCATCTCTGTCAGTCTACTAACATCACATCTACCTGGTTCACCTTCATCATCATCATCATCATCATCATCACCTCACTGTCAGTCTACAAACATCACATCTACCTGGTTCACCTTCATCATCATCATCATCATCATCATCACTGTCAGTCTACAACATCACATCTACCTGGTTCACCTTCATCATCATCATCATCATCACCTCACTGTCAGTCTACAAACATCACATCTACCTGGTTCACCTTCATCATCATCATCATCATCATCATCATCATCATCACCTCACTGTCAGTCTACAAACATCACATCTACCTGGTTCACCTTCATCATCATCATCATCATCATCATCATCATCATCATCATCACCTCACTGTCAGTCTACTAACATCACATCTACCTGTTCACCTTCATCATCATCATCATCATCACCTCACTGTCAGTCTACTAACATCACATCTACCTGGTTCACCTTCATCATCATCATCATCATCATCATCATCACCTCACTGTCAGTCTACTAACATCACATCTACCTGGTTCACCTTCATCATCATCATCATCATCATCACCTCACTGTCAGTCTACTAACATCACATCTACCTGATTCACCTTCATCATCATCATCATCATCATCATCATCATCATCATCATCATCACCTCACTGTCAGTCTACTAACATCACATCTAC